CCCCTCCCAAAAAAAGCACTTATTGTTGAAAACAATGGAATTCATTAACAAATTCATAACTATGATAGACAGTTTTTGAAATATTAAATGAATACTTAATTGTTGTCTTATCATAAAAAAATATGGGGTTTAATTGTTATTACATGCGCACTTTTCCATCCTTCAACGGTCAGTGGGAAGTATGCTTCCCTCTTAACATAGAATTTTATCAATTTATTCATACAGAAAAAGATTAATTTTATTAAAACTAGTAAGGTTAACTACCATTTTCATTATTTTTAACAATATTAACTTTGTTCTTTAAGTAAAGTTGCATTTTTATTAACACTCATCACCTTTAAGATGTACTGGCTTAAGCAAACATTTTAATCAAATCTTTAATCCTCTATTCAAGCTTTAAACTTGTTTTTCTCAAAACTAGCTCAGTGTGTGTTACAGCAGTATTGATGCTAAATTAGTTTTTATCTTCAGAGAATTAAATACTGGATAAAAACTAATGGATCATTCAAGTCTATTAGTATACAACTCTACCACAAATTGTTTTTTGTTCTTTGTTTCATAAATTTGTTCATTTTTTTGTATATTATATTGCATTTTTTACTTTTTTTAAATAGTTCAATTACATGAAAAAGTTTGTAACAAATATAATATATACTACTCAATATTAGCTTTGTAATTTATTTAAAACTTTTTATGTGACAAGTTTTTATTTTTTATATATTATTTTATATTTAAATATATTGTAGAGAATCATGATATTTAAAATACAAATATATTTTCAAATATTACAAATAATAAATGATGATTAAAATCATACCAGCCCTAACTCAATCTTATAAATATTTTGCCTATCTTCTGTTGTGTTTATCTTTTAGAATAGTCACCACACTATTTTTATTAATTACACTATGGACAACTTTTATTGCAAATCTGGTTTCTAAATCTCCCTTAATTCTGTGGTTTATGCGAGGGATGAATGATAAACATTACACTACAAATTTATAACAACTGTTTTCATTGGGGGGGGGGCGCGAGAAATGTTTAGATAAATAAATTAATGTAATGGCTGCTGTAACAGTTTTATATAAAACCTCTTTTTGGATAAAGTGAAGACCAGAACAAAAAGGTCAAATGAAGGAGTTACTCCAAAAACATCATCATCTAGAACTGCAAGTATTTAGGTACCAATTCTGTTCTCCAAAAACTTAATGAATTAAAAAATAATAATAATAATAAATAATAATAATAATTAATAATAAATAAAATAATAATAATAAAAATAATAATAATAATAATAATAATAATAATAATAATAATAATAATAATAATAAAATTTAAACCAAGCGAAGTGGCTCAGTGCGTGACACGCTGACTTCGTAATCGGGAAGTCCAGGTTTGATTCCCGGGTCAGCCATCCTGACTGGGGTTTTCGTGGTTTCTCTCGGTCATAAGGCGTATGCTGGGATGGTTCAAAAAGTCCACGATCACCTTCCACCAATATCCTATCACCTAATCCATTAATAATAATCACACTTCAAGGCGTTACAACCTTGTTGTAATCCAAGGATACAGCTGAAAAACTGATCCTGGAAGAATTTCACACGTTAATCGTGTAGCGCGGTCAGTAATGGCCTATACGCCAATAATAATAATAATAATAATAATAATAATAATAATAATAATAATAATAAAATTTAAAAAACCTAATACAACTTTTTAGTAGCATTAGAGACGACAACTAATTATAAAATGAGAATGTTCTTAACTTGACAAACCACTAGAGAATACTAAAATGAAAAGGCAAACTTACTTGGAGCCTTTCGAAAATCATAAGGAGCACCCCTAATGGACACATTCCTCTCATATCCCATGGCTACCAAAGCATTTCCAACATCTTTAAAATATGCGCCAGTTATGGCCTGACTAGGATCCAACCATTCCACAGTAGAAGTATTACCAAATCCAGGTATCCTTATATCAACTCCATCAGAATTGTAAGTTTTCCTAGTCTTGTTATCATACACCAATTTTATGTTGTCAATCTACATAATTGTCCACAATTAATTAAATTACAAGACTATTACCCTAGTTCAATCGTAATAACATGTGCATCAGCAAAATACTTACCCAACAATCTATCACAATTGGAACTAGTAATTCCATGTTGAGCCATATATTGAAATAATCCTGAGTATTTTTCTGGCATAAATAATGAACAGTATCCTTCTTATGCAATTTTGCTTCAACTTGACTACCTCCATCTCCCGGAACTGTACAATAAATGACAGGTAATACATTATTTTGGGATCAAAATGTAATCATGGTAAACGAAATAAATACAACCATACAATCACTTCTGATGAGAATATAACCGATGTACAGTTACCTAAAATAACAGGTGGGCCTGGTAGTGCATTTTCAACACGATTAACTGAATAACAAAGACATTGAGCCGCTAGCGCAATGAGCATTCCAACTACGAATTTTGATATTAGAAGCATGATTGTTCTTTAGTCTCCAAATTGTCATAAAAATACACCTAGTATGACAGTCACTGCTCCAATTTCGAACAAGTTATGTTTAACTGCTTCCCATCGAACTATAGAGAAAATCTAAAACTATAGAGAACAAAGAAAACAAAGCAATGGTTAGTTATAGCACAAAGTAAATGGTAAGAATCAATTATGGACAAGAAATAATACATACTTGGCTGACGAAGTAACGCATTTCTGCATCCAAAAGGTCTTATTCCAACTACAATTTTGTTTATGGTTAGTGACACTCTTTGGTAAAAGCTATATATCACATAAACTTGAATGACGTTTCGATGACGTATCCCGAGCACATGACAGCAATCGTGTGCCCTCTCTTCGGTCGCGTGATGATGGTCAGGGACATGCAGGGGGAGGAAACTACCGCAGACGTCAACAAACAACATGTGACGCATCCTAACCTCAAGAAAAATACAATTTGTTTCTGATAACGCAGATTGATTACGAAAGAGCATCGTACCGATGAGCTACGTGCTGTGATTTTACATTTATGGAACATTGCGAAAAAGGTATTACTTCTTTTATAGTACTTTTTTATTGAAGATTAAATTAGTAAGTAACGTATTTTCTCTCTCCTTTTCTTCTTTTCAGTCATGCAATTTTGTGGCAAGGTCGTGCTTATCACGGGCGCCAGCTCAGGTATCGGTGCTGCAACTGCTATTCATTTTTCTAGACTTGGAGCTAGTCTAGCTTTGACTGGCAGGAATATCGAAAATCTTAATAAAACAGCAGGAGAATGCTGCGGACCAAACATCCCGAAACCTTTAGTAATACCAGCTGACCTTTCTTCTGAAAATGACACACAAATTGTTATTGAAAATACTATCAAACATTTTGGAAAGCTTGATGTTCTCGTTAACAATGCAGGTATTCTTGCAATGGGAAGTATTGAGCAAACGTCTTTAGAGCAGTTTGACACGGTTTTCAATGTAAACGTGCGTTCACTTTACCATTTAACAATGTTAGCGGTTCCACACCTCATTACAACCAAGGGAAATATTGTGAACGTATCAAGTGTAAATGGTTTGCGATCTTTTCCTGGTGTGCTGGCTTACAATATGTCCAAGTCAGCAGTGGATCAGCTCACACGCTGTGTAGCACTAGAATTAGCTTCAAAGAAAGTTAGAGTAAACAGTGTAAATCCAGGAGTTATAATTACAGAACTCCAGAAAAGAGGTGGTCTGAATGATGAATCTTATAATATGTTTTTGGAACGAAGCAAAGAAACACATGCCCTTGGAAGACCAGGGAACACAGAGGAAGTTGCTCGAGCAATTGCATTTCTTGCTAGCGATGATGCTAGTTTTATCACTGGAGCAAACCTTCCAGTTGACGGTGGCAGACATGCTATGTGCCCTCGATAGTTTGTTTCAGCTTTGAAAGGTGGTTTTTGGATCAATTTTTGGTGATGAACGCTAGCCTTTCAAAAGTATCTTATAAATTCAAAAGAAATTTAAATATTTGGCATATATTTCTGTTTACTTCAAATGTTTGTAATGTGCAAAATTGTCAAAGTTAAATGTACACCTCTGCTCCTCTCCTGATTACTTTTTGTAAACTCAGTTAATTTTAAGAGGCTTTCACTGAAAGTAAGTTTCCTTTCTCTGGAAACCTAAAAATTACAAACATTGATGCATTGCGCTTTTTGGCTTAGTACCATTTTTTTAATGTTAACTGCAATGAAATGTCATATATTAAATTGTATTAAGTATGCATAAATTTGTCTCTTATAGATAATACACTTTCTACAGATGTAAAATAATGGTAAAATATAAATTTCTTTGAATATGAGTTTTAATTTCATACACAACCCTTTTTTCAAATCCAGTTCATTGCAATTTTTCTTGGGCTTGAGTTTAACATGGAAGATTCAAGAGGAACAGCAATAATTAATTAATTACAAAGAAGCTGTATATATTAATATAAGCTTTATTCCATAATTAACACTTCAGAACATACATATATACCACATTACATTAAATACATATATATATACTATATATTTATTATGTTTTGGTAATTTAGTTAATAAACTAAAATCATAGGTATATCAATAAAAAAGTTGAAAAACGAAATGGAGAGAGGCCAGAACATAATTGCCTCATTTAGAATTAAAAAGATCATAAAACTTTGTTCTGAAACTCTTTCAGCATATCACAAAAGTCAAATATATCAATCATGATTTATTCCATTTTTACTTTATTCAGACACACATTTCAGTGCATGTTCTTTAACTATTCAGTGTTGAAGAACCAATAGTATAGATTATTAAACCTAGAAGATAATGCCAATAAATGCACTTTTAATACATTTTGATTATAATAAGAACAGGATTGATTAATGTGTAATGACGTAAGGGCCTTTCCAAGAAGTTACCTATAACAAAACCTAACCACTGATGCCACACCTAAAAATCCATAAATGGTGGCTGAAACCTATGCAAATGTCAATCCTATTTTTATATTAATCTACTAAATAACTGTTGATATCTGATCGAAGACCATAAAATGCATAATGAACAACAATTAGTTTTTCTTCACAGGCTGAAGAAGATCAAGCACCTTATCTATATCCCCATTCTTCATTTCCACCAACTGGGTCAACCATCCGCCTTCATTGCTGAATCCCATTGACATCATAGCTTCAACACTCTGATTAATTTTGGGATCTGAAACAAAATTGTTATTGAAAAAACACTAGGCAATAACATACTTATTAAACAGAACTTGCCCAATTATTATTTTTTCGAAGAAAATTTTACATCAAACTTAAACTCACCTGGATGCACAATCTTTTGCTGGGAGGGTAGTGGTGGTTGCTGCTGCTGCTGTTGCTGCTGTTGTTGCTGTTGTTGTTGTTGTTGTGGTGGTGGTGTTGGCATTGGACGCTGCTGCTGCTGCATCTTTGGTGGCTGTTGCTGCTGGAACCCTCCTGCAGGGGGGAACATAATGTGGAAAGGAGCAGGAGTGGGAGGAATTTGCCACTGGATCTGAGAAGGGGGCAGTGGAGGAGTGAATGGTGGGAAAGGAGGAATATTGGTGAAGGATGGAGGAGGTGGATAGAAGACAGGAAATCCTCCCTGGCTTTTTGGGACGGCTCCAGTTGAAGTGTTTGCAGTTGTTGCAGCAGAATTTGATGCAGTTCCTTCCTCTAATTTTGGAGCAGTTGCAGATGAAGCAGCAGGCTCCTTGGTTACGCTAGCTGTGGCGCTAACAGAAGATTCTAAAATACATAAAATGAGATATTCTAATTATCTAAAATAAAAATGCCACATTGTATCAAAGTGTAGAAATAGGAAGGTCTTGTATGAATAAAAAATTGTGAATTGGAGTTACAACATCAAGTTTTCAAATAGAAAAATCATACACAAGAAAATTAAGCAGTTCGGAACACATTTAAGAAGAATGTATACGAAATACTCAAAACTCACAACATTAATGTCTGTGATTCAGATAGAAAATTTACATATATCTTAATTATGTGTCATCAAGCACTTTCAATCACTGAGTATTCAACATTAAGATGATTACCTTGATTTGATGCCTCAGTTCCGGAAACAACAGTCCACCCATCCTTCTCTGGGCTTTCGCGCTCTGAAGGAGTCTCGGAATTCACGGATTCTTGTTTGACAATTTCTCCTTTATCATTTTTAGTTTCATTAGCAGTTTCATCAGCAAATGATACGTTTTTCTTGGCCTTCTCTTCGGTTTTTGTTTCCTGAGATTTCTCTGCTGGTTTACTTTTCTCCACAATCACATCAACATCAATTCCTGAAAATATACATGAGATTTTGTATATTTGGTGAATTTGAAACATTTTGTTGCCAATTTAGAATTCACAATGCAATGACCAGAATAACAGAACCACTGCAAATCATAGGCTAGTCTGTTTTGATCATAGCAGGTGAAGTTTACTGTGTACCTATATATTGTTATCAACACGTCCATGAACCGACAAGAAACAACAGCATGTTTACATGTCCACTTTTCTGATGTACCAATATCATTCTCAAATACACCCTTCACATGCTAGGTATTAATTATCTATGACAGAGGTTACCAAACTAGGACATCTACTAGGGGTGCAATGACTAGAGGGGGGGGGGGGGAAGAGAAAGTTTGAAAAATCAATATTGTATTTATTGGTAAAATAATTATAGACATCATTGGCAACAATAGTTCATTGCTGGCAATGACGTCTATAATTATTTCATGAAAAATGCCAACGATTACGCACCACAACACCTATATTTATTGGTAAAGCAGAAAGAAAACTTCAAAATTAAGATATTTTATTTTTAAAGTTACTGAATAAAAGACACAAGTCTGTTAGGTGTCACAACATATCAAAAATAATATAATTTTTTATAAAAACGTAACATTTTCATTTCCAATATCAACAAGTTTCACCATATTTTAAATTGAAAACAAAACTGTTTTTTACTAATTTTTAAAAACTATCGCTAATAATCATATTTATCTGCAAGTCTTAAATTAAAAATTGAAGATATTTAATAGCTTTGTTTCTTTTGTATTATCCTGAACTTGCTTTTATGAAAAAAATGCAAATAAATATATTGTAACAAAAATATGTAGTTAATACAGTGGTTTATTTCTGGTAGAATGCGACAGAACAGCATTCCAATATCTCAGAAATAATAATTAAATTATAATATAAATATATAAATATTTCTATTAAATTGATAATGAATTTGAGGCGTGTTCCACAACCTAAAATTTTATAAATCAAGAACTGAGAATATACATGTAAAGAAAACACCCTTAGATCGGAATTTGTCAGGTAAATTATTTTTCTGGAGAACTAGTACCAACAATATTTTGTTTCTGTAACTCTAATAGCTTATTAAGATGAATAAAGATCTTACCAAATGGGTCAAGAAAATTAGCAACTGCTTTGCCAACGTCTTGGAGATATTGCATTTTCTCGTCTTCAGGAGGAGCAGAATTGTTTCCAGCAGCAGAAGCAGCTCCATCTTGGGTCTTTGGCGAACCAGTTTCTGGAGTCTGCGTCTGACCATTTGCAGTAGCATTCTCAGGCTCCTTTGTGTTTTCTGTAGTGCGATTCGTATTCCTTCCCAGAGGATCAACGTCATTAATCCAGCCTCCAACCAACGTACCAAGGACATCCAACAGCCCCACTGCGGGGCCTGCACGATGATGACCATGTGCGCGTCCACCGTGCCCATGTCCATGCCCACGTGTGCAAGAGCATGCCTCTGCCTCACCACATGCCCCACTTCCGTCCTCAGCAGGGCAACTGCTGCTGCATCGACGGGACGACTTTGACAAATGATGAGCCAAACGCTTGCCAAAGTGTGGGCGCTAAAGATTTAAAGAATTAATTCTTTAAAAGAATAATAATAATTAATTATATGTGGTGACCCACCTTAATCATGTTGAATTCTAACATGTATATAAATATTCCTCTAACAATTAATATAGTTTAATTATACAGTCACAAACTTTTCTTTAATGTCAAAAACAACTCTGTAAAACATTGTTTGTTGACTAATTGAAATATATATTATACAAAATAATTGCCAATGGTATTAATAAATAATATTAGAATAATAATTGCCTATGGTGAGGTGTTCCTGCGTTTTCACGGGATTCTAAATGTATGGTTCAAATGCTTATGGAACAATGTGATAGGACTTTTTAACACTACACAAGATCCATACAGAGAGCACAATTAAAAATAATTTTTAAATGACAATAGCTTCTTATGCACATCAGTGGATTTAGCAGATCCACTGGAGAGAAGAAAATTAGTTTGTTTGGGAAAACAAAAAGAAATTTCCCTATCAAGAAATGTAAATTTTCAAAGATTATTGAAGTTTTAAGGTAAAACCAATATAATTTTAAGAATACAATAATTATTGCCATTATATTTCTCATAACATTTCAATTTGAAGCAATCTTATTTTTAAAACAATGATTTATAGCTCGCACAGGTCAAAAGCTCGCACAGGTATAACTAATATCTTTTATTCCAATAAATGGCTAGTTAAGAATAACATACACGAAGAAAGAAATTAATAAAGTTATACCACCTACAACATTTAAATACGTTTATTTGAAAAGATTTAATAATTGTTAAATGCCAGATGAATAATCAGAATTGTCCAGGAATTCCAGAACAGTCCCATGCATCTCCATCCCTCCCACTCCTTGCTCGTTCCCAACCCATTTCACCTCACCATCCCAAAAATTGTTATGATATTTGACAAAACTAATGACAAACACTGGATCTGGAAAGAATGTTTACTAACCCACATCACGGGTACTGGAAGCCGAATCATGAAATGATCAGGATGAAGCGATTTGGATTCACAATCAGAACACAAATCAAAGTTGCTGCACTCCAGGCATTTATAACGGAAACCAGTGACACCACTCTCACATTCATCACAAACAACACCAGGGTGACTTTTACCTACAGAACAGAAAATCACATTGTTACAGTATATCACTTTCATCCAACAGTACATAATCAAATCAAAACCAAATACATGTTCACATACCTGGCCGTTTAGGAGATTCCTCCTTTACGTTATCTCCTTTGATAGTAACAAATAATTTACGAACATCTCCTGGCATTTCAGTCAGAGCAATCATCAATTCATCATCAGTAGAAATTAGTACATCATCTCCATCAGCATCTGGAAATTAAATTGACATCAAGTAAATCTGAAAAAAGTTAAACATTTGCGTTAAAGTGTACTATTATTTTTTTACTTTTACATTTATTATAATCAATTTTTACCTTTCCAGGAAACATCAAAAAGTTTGCTTCGCAAAGATGGAAAAACAGTTTGTAACTTTTCAGATAAATATGCGAAATTAGATACTACGTCACGGTCTATACCAAAACGTCGTACTTCCGGCTTGTCATTAGGATCTTTTCCATGCAAAAATACTTTAAAAGAAACAGTGTTTTCTTGCGCCATTTTGAATTGTAAGGGCACAGGTCTCCTGCAATACAAAGAAACAATCTTATATTAGTAACACTTTTCACATCATTTCAGGACTTCAAATTGATACGAAATGTCAGGTACTCAAAACTCACATTGCGAAATATACTTTCCGGATTATTTGTAAAGATACTCAGTGCACTCGAACAATCACAATATCAACTTATTAGAGACCAGAACAGAATTCCCCCCCACAGTACATTCACTAGCCCCAACGTTCCTGATTCCAACGATTTATTTACCACTTGCTGTGACGCTCAGCTGTGGTACCACGTATTGAGCACGAAACTACTCGAAAACAAAAGAACTTCGTCCCAGATGCGTCCCAGCCGTCAAACAAAACACGGACCTGCCTTACAGCACCAATGCACTGACAATGCACCCCACAAGGCGGGGAGTGGACCAGAAGATAACCATGATCTGCTGACTCTCACCCATCCACCAATCACAAAACGTAACTCTGACAGCACTTCGCAGCGATGAGAAACTTGTCGAGTTGCATTTATTTTACACTAATGTAATGTGCGACATAT